ATAAAATAACAGAACAGCCGTACTAAACAATCTTCTGAAATAACAAAGCTCAGGAAATATCACCACATGAATTGTGAATTTGAAAGAGAGCTGAGTGAAGTTGTCTGCTTCTTTACCTCAATGTAGATTGGGGGGAGGAGGGGAAACTTTTACCATGATGTCAATGATTTGGTAAGTGTTTCTGTTGTGACATCATTATTTGGCGAGTATTTCTCTTTTCTTCAGTATTTCATTCTCCATGTATTTCTTTTTTCTTCAGTATTTCATTCTCCATATATTTCTTTTTTCATCAGTATTTTATTCTTCATGCATTTTTTTTTTCTTCAATATTTCATTCTCCATGTTGTGTTTTCCTGAACCTATAAACTGAATGTTTACATTTTAACAGGTTGTGTGTATTTCAGGTCAGCAGGTTTTCAGTATTTGACAGTATTTCATTGTAAACAAATGATGATGGAACAATTCTTTGCTATTTTTCAGAAAAGTTGCATCTAACATTTTTGTCTTAAAGTTCTGTGATGAACTATACTTTTGTGGTCATTTATTCCAGTTATCTTACATAAACATTTTAACTTTTACATTTCATTCAGGAAATTTTATTATGTATAAAAATACCTATATTAGAGAATTTAAAAGTTTTCAATTAAAGATGTAGGCCAAATATAAAGACCTTAAAAAAAAAAGGGGGAAAACATTTTTTCTAAATGGAATTTGAGGTTTTATATTTAAATGTTGAATCTATATTTGTTTAGTATTTCTAGATGCCTTTGTTAAAAAGAACTTCTAAAATATGAGAAATGGTGAATGTAGCACAGAAATGATGGCAAGAAACTATTTAAAAACACATTTTGAAGAACTTCAAATTTTTCTTTTGTCATACCTAAAGGATTTATTACTTACATAAGTTTCTTTTTCTGTGCAAAGGGGGGGGATTACAAGGTGTCCTACTTTACCTAATATCATTAACTTTACAATATTTCATCACAGAGGAAAACAAATATTACATAAATTAATCACAAATAGCCTCCATTAAAATCTCACCTCATAAAATCACTTGCATATTCACATATCTTACACAACACTCAACATACTTAAAATAGCTCCTAAACTTTTTTTTAATACAGTGTGTGAAAAACGCCCGATTGCTTTTCAAGATTAATGGATACAATAACCACAGCATGTTACGGCTATGTGGAATATTTGGAATTTATAGTGAAACTGTAAGGGAGCAAAATATTATAGCAAACCTTCCAGGCTTGCTCAGAATGCCTTTTGATGGCAGCGAGGAATGCCGAATTGAATACTTAGAATTTGAATGCTGTATGCATATTATTTTGACACATAAAACTGATTATGTAAATGTTTGCAGAGTTCAATTAGTTGTATATAAATAATAAACAATAAAGGATTAAAACGACAATGAAAATGGATTTATTAAACCCCAAGATAAGAATTCAGCATGCTATATACACAATCAGCACAGTCAATACGATCTGGAATTTAATGAAATACTACACTGCTACAGCAGAATTATTAATGTCAATAAACACAATTACCAACACTTCTAAATAATCTCCAATAGCTTAAAACCAACAAACTCTCCACAATGCTAAAGTAACAATCAGTTCTAGGATAGGAATCATTTTATATTTTCATTGGAAATAAGGCAGGCAAAGCAGTTACTGTGAAAACTCTAAATGGTCAGTGGCACACAGTCATGTTTAAAGCATTTCTTTAGCATGCCACAGGTTTCTCATCACCATGAGTGATGATTTCAGCAGGATAGAGCAGTTGCCTACATAGAGAGGGTCTACAGGCCATTCTTCTGGTTACTATTGGAGTACAGATATTCACATTATGGAGACATCAATAGTTTAGCCTAGTTACCCAATTTAGTCAGACATGATTATTTTCCCTGGTTTTGGGTTTATTCAATAATGCTAGAGCATGAAAGAAGAATCTGCTCAAAGATTTATTTTTCCCCCCCAAGGGAAACTGGCTCATATTTATACCACACATGGGAAAAACTACAAAAACACCCATTAATTGAGAAATGAACCCGAATCGAACTACCAGTATTCACCAACTTTACCACTCAGGCACTGGTAGGCCTATTACCTTTGGAATTACTTCAAAGACAAAAAAGTGTACAAAACATGTCTTTATACCATTATGAATTGAAAAACAGAATTTGTAAGTGTATGCAATTAATTTCCAACACATTATTTCAATACGCAATGATGTTTTCATCTCCTTAATTGTAATTAGGTATTCAAGAGTTTGGTGGTTGTAGGTGCTGTGTGATATACAAAACATACTGGATCAAAGCAAATTTCCAGTTTATTTAATAAATAATGTGGGAAAATAAATCATATTTACTCAAATATTTTTCTCCCTAGTGTTTTTAGCATATGATTTAGAAACTTCCGATTCATGGTAACAATATAAAATGTATGCACAAATAGAAATGTCCAAGTACAAAGAATGTTACTGAAACTGTAAGCCCTTTGAAATGCATACTGTAACAAGATTATGTCTTTATATATGTTTTTTAATGTGTTATTGCTATAATTTAAATTGTCTCTTCAGAAATATAGTACATGCCTATTTTTCCCCAACTGGTTTTCGAGCAATAAATCTCATGAAAAAAGGGGATTAAGTATGGTAATGTATTTTCAATCTGATTTTCCAACCTGAATTCTCTACCAAAAAATACGCTTATAAAAAATTGTGTATACCTGCTTCAAAGAAGATTCATTTGCTTTTAAGACGATGGAATGCAATTCATTTAACTGTTGTTTCACCAGAGGGGGAATAGGATTACAGCAAGCTAGAATTCCCTGCTGTTCTCTAAAATGGAAATATAAGGTGATATAGTGATATAAAGTAAAATAAGAAAATATAGACATACGAAAACCAGAACTTCAAATTTCAGTAATAAATGATACAAAATAGTAATCAACTGCTGTGCAAATAAGTTATACAATACCTTTCCAATGTACAACTTAACTGCACAGCTTCAGTTTTTCATTATTTATTTTACAGACTTATAAAAATATTCATAATACACTGGATTGGATATCAAAATTAAAGGATAATGAGAAAAAATATGCTAAGTCAATGTTGCAACCAATGCCTAATGTTGTAATTATTTATGTTAACAAATACAATTAACACAAAATTGCACTTATGAGCATGTGCCAGAAATATGCTAATTCAGTGATTGACATGGTGTGCAATGGACGTATGTTGAAATACCGGTCTGGAGTGTTGTTTAAAGTGAATGTAGTTTCTGAGAGGGATAAGTATTCAGTAGTTACAGCTCAAAAGCATCATTTAAGTTAAGGTCAAAAGTGGAGAATAATTGGTAGAACTGTGGGAGATCAAACGCAAAGGAAGTCGCCCAAGATACGAGTATCCTTCAAAGTGTCATATTAAGAGTTTAGAGCCACTTTTTAAGCACTAGATCAGTTGATAGACAACCTTATCAAGGGTATCTAAGTAAAACAACTGCATCAGGAGACTGTTTTCTGTTGTTGTTGGCTCGAAGAAACCACAAAGGGACTACAAGAGATTTGATGGTTAATCTTTGGATTATGGTAACTTGGCGATTTTTTGGCAAATTTGGCGACCAACCCTGCTACAGCAACCTGCAAGTTGTTTTTTTGGACACCATTTTGTTTTCACGAAGTAAAGGCATTTTTTTTTTTTTTAACTAAACATTTTTTTTCCAACAATCTGCTAGCCGAATTACACTTATGCTAGAACTTTTATGTAAAAAAAGTGCTTAATCATGATGAAGATTAGGTGCGAAATTGGGAGAAAGTGCAGAATCGCAAACTGTTTGCCGCATTTTTAAGAACTGCACATACACGGTATCCATGTACATGTTGACCTATTTTCACTTAAAAACAAATCCTCGAATTGCACAAAAATGGCATTGCGCACACTCTCTTGACTTTATCCATGTACACTGCTAAAGTCCTAGGTAGTAACCTTTATCGCCTTGCCAAAATGTCGCCAAACTACCTGTTCCCACATTCCAAAGATTAGCCGATTTCATTTTAGACCTTTAAAGCTGCCACAGAAACTCAGCCATTCTACTGCTGCACAAAGGCTTAAACAGAGTTGGAGTGTTAACTAATTAACCTCTGAGTGTCATGGCTTTTTGAATCTGGTCACAAATACCAGTATTTAAGCAGCATTTATACACTAAATTTATACAATTGCTAATTTAAGTTTCTGCTTTCATAAACTTCCATTCATTAAAATCATATCTGCATCATTAAAGAAAGTAAGATAGCAAAATGTTTTAAATTATAAGCTAATATATACCAAGTGACAAAAAATCTCATGACCGGATGGATAAAAGCAGTCATGCCACTCAGAGAGATAATCAACAATATCCTAATCTACTGTAAATAAAAATAGTTTTCATATATGCAAGAAAAGCTATGGTTTATGGCCCACTCACTGCAGCTTCCAGAGGGGTCCGTTTAAACTGGAGCCGTCGTCATGTTCAATGTAGCCAAGACAACTGGGCTTGAGCATTTTTTACTGACTAGTTCGGATATAGTCTGAACAGTGATCCTAAATATGTTTTGATCCGGAGAAAGGAAGGAACATGCAACTTGCCTTCCCTCATCAATGAAATATCACATTTCTGCTCCAGCGTTTTAATGGTTTAGGAAGGAATCTCAACAAATGGCCACACCGAGTTGCATATCTTTCAAGAACATTTTGTTACCACTCGAAGATATGTGGACAATGTATATTACAGCCCCAAGTTAGACTGTTTAGGGATGCTGTTGGCTCAGAGTTTTTGCTAATGGATGGCAATGACTTATCGAGTGTGTGTGGTGTTAGAATATTTGCAAACAGAAGACATCACTCGAATGGAATGCTCCCCTTACACTCCCAACTTGAACCTAATTGAGCATATGTGGGATGCCTTAGAGAGCTGAATTTTCAGATTGTCAAATTCCTTTCCCCAACCCTCCAGGAGTTGAAAAGTTCACTTTTAAAAGAGTGGCGTGCAATTTCACAAGACTTGAACAACACATTAGTTAAGTCTGTGAAATCAAGATGTGAGGTATGCATACCTGTCCGAGGTGACCATACAGCATATTAATGAAAAATCACAAAAGGTGACTTAATTTTTCCATCATTTTCCAAATAATCGATTGGTCAAACATTGTAATTTATGTTAAGTAACACTTTTGTACTAATTTCTATTAATAATATTTCATTAAATATCAATTACATTTGCTTTCTGACATTATTCTTTAATTTTGATGACCAGTGTATTACAAAATTATTTATTTATTGAGTAAAAATATTTAGTAACTTAATATAATAATAATAAAAGATTTTATATACAAATTCTTTTGGTTTTTACTTCACTTTTATCTTTGCAATTACTGGTCACAGACATAAACTTCCAGACACAAAAATGTTTTATAGGATGTGAACATTCATGTTGTTACACTTCTAAATAAATAAAAACTAATTTCATCTAAAATATGTCATTAAACATTTTACCCGTTTCTCCATTTCATCCTCTATACTTATATTAAGGAAAATATTATATTCATTACAAAAAATACGGCAAAAGAATTTGACTCCTACATGACAAAAATGCATGAAATATTTAATTTAAAAAAATTTGTAATTTTTAATGTCATTTTCAACTTACCTTGAGGGGTTGTTAATAGATAATTTAGAATAATTTAAGGTTCATTTTCTGCTCTTAAATGCCATTTAATGGTAGTCTTTAGTTACTTACCAGAGTGTAACATTCTTAAATTTGCAATTTTATTACAATTAGTATGCTGAAAGAATTTTCACATGGGTAACATGTTTTCAAATGGTAGAAATAAATTATTAATATTTTCTCGAGTTTTATTACTTTAGAATTGTTCTCTAATAATCACATACAAATTCTTAAAACTAGAAATATTTTTCCTTTTTAACTTAAGCCAATTATGTTGTGAGTTGTCTAAATAGAATAGCCTATATAGAAACCTCGCAAAGTTTTTTAGAAGATCTCTAAAAGATTCTGTGAGTAAGATCTTCATTTTGAAAAAAATATATATATGTGTGTGCATAATGAAGTTGCGGTTCAAATGGCGCGACATGAATGATTTGATCGTGAATGCGGTACAAACTTTCATTAAAATTTCCGATGAAACAGGACTTTTCCCATGATTCACTGTGAACATAGCTTAACAAACTGGTGTAAAATTTTTCATAATTAGAACTGGCCAAAGAATGTAATGACAGAAAACTTTTGGAGGCACTGAAATAAGAAAACTGAGACGCAGATACTTGATGCTTAGAGCATCCATCCATTTTGAAGAAGAAGCAGTCGAGCTGGATTAAATTCCTTTGATTAAATTCTCATTTTGTGGCCACAATTCACTTGGTACTCTACTTGTGCCTAATAAAGAACATTAAAAATTTTTGATATTATTCCCATAGAAGTGAACGTAGCAGCACACATGATTGGAGAAAGGTGTCTAGCCAAGAGGAAAGCACAAGCAAAAGTTATGCATCAGTTCATAGAAAGAAGGGAGGGAGTCAAAAGTTTCAATTTTAAGTTTTGGTTTACAATTTGGTGATTGGTCAAGACACATCCGCATTAAGGGTTACGTAAGATCGCATGATTAATTTGAATATGCAGTTTAGATTTATAGCACTATTTTTAGAACAGAGCGAAGTTTCCAAATGAAATAAAAGAGGTTTTATTCATTGCTGTCATACATAAATTTCCTTTTAATTTTCTCTTTAGAAAACATTTAACTTAAAATCATATTTTTTTTTTTTTTTGGCCACATAAAAATCTTTAAATCAAAAATATGTTATTAGAAATAAATGAATCATTGACAACTACATGCTTCTTTAATGTATCTTTCAGTGTTCCGCTTCCCCACTGTGAAAGGGCAATAAAAAATACTCTTAGACCACTTTAATAATATTTTTTAATTACTCAATTATAAGAAGAATTATAACAAAATATTCAACATTTGAACAGCAGTTCTGCTATTATTTATAAACATTGCAGTTATTTTACATTTCTCAAATGTCTCTGCACGAATATAAAGGAGAGATACCAAAATTCTAATATCAAAGCTGCCATAGACAGAAAGGCAGTGAAGCCCCTTTCATATGTCTTTAAGACAATTTTTTGTTAATTATTTAAATTTCAATTCCATCACATAAAAGTGCATATAAAAATGTAGATAATACTCAAAACTTAAAACCTGTTTTCAGCACAGCATTATCTTTATTTAAGTAAATTTATGAAAGTTAATGAAGTAAAAATAACTCACCTAGGTAATGCTTCAGCTATTTGCAGGAGCATGTGATTGGGTAAAACATATCTATATTTAAATAAATAAATTTTAAATTACTTTAAGAAAAATATTACAGTCTAAACAAAGCACAGATTTTAAAAGTTATGTATCCAATTAAAATTGCAGAAAATACATTTATATTTCTTTACAAATGTACTTTACTTTACCTAAATAATTGTAGCAATAAATCCTAGATATATATTACTTTTTAAATCTATTGTATAACAAATATGTAAAAAACACTGAATCCACAAATGAAATAAAAAAGGTCTGCACTCAATGCATACCAAAAAATACATACATTACATTAATATTACTATTAATTACATTACATATATTACATTAATATTACTATTTTGCATGAAATAGATTTTAGTTTTGAAATATACCTTTTTACTCAAAACAAAAACAAACTAAATGATGGCAATTTTATGTTAGATAAAAATTAATATCAAAGCACTTATTCATGCAAATTTGCATAAAAATCAATTAAAATCTCAGTGCAGTTACTCAACAAGACACAATAACTTATTATTGGTTCTAGCATTTATTTACTTATCCCCCCCCCATCCTTTTCTTTTGAGGAAAGCAAATGCTGACATTTCTTTCATAAATATTTTTAAGCTTCAGGGTTAAGCAAAAAACATAGTCATCTCTTACTTATTTGAAGGAATTGTTAGGAAAAGTGACAAAAAAATTCCAAAATACATTGAAATGCTGCCTTAGAGCATCCTAAATAGAAATCATATGCAATATATTACAGACTTACGCTAAACTTTCATCATTTTCTCTGGCAATCCTATCTCTCCAGCCATATAATTCTTTTAGACAATACAGTTGTTTTGCATTGAAAGTTTTCTTACTTTTTTTATACAACTCCAAATACTTGTCATCACTAAATACTGGTTTTTGATACCTCTAGAAAATAAAAATTATATAATAACATATTTAATAAACATATAAAAAAATAATCTCAATAAACCTTTCTAAAGTAGAGTTAAAAAGTATCAAAAGTATTGCAAATTTGGAGGCAAAATAATTTCATTTGGAGGAGGAAAAATTTCGAATTTGCAATGCATAAATGCAACTAATATTTTTAATTTAAATCAAAGTGAATAATATTTTATAACAATTAAAGAATAAGAAATAATTTACCAAACATATTAAAAGGCATACTACATACCTTTAAGCAAATCATTTTACTTCTTTCAAATGTTGAATGCAATAGATTTTTCATTTCATTCCCATTTGTTATAAGATCATTTTTTAAGCAGTCATAAATATATAATAAATAGTGAGTATCTTCTCGGGCATATTTTAACATTTCTGGAGGTATCGGTCTGGGGGAAAAAAACAGAAATAATTTCAGTAATGGACTACTTAAATATGTGTTTAAGATATCATATGATGCTAAGCACTTCAAGACCTATTTATAAAATTTTATGTTGCTCATATCCAATAAATGATATTTAAAAAACAATATTTTTTTTATAATGATATTGCAGATGCAGAGATATTTTTAAAAATTTAGTTATAATAAAAATGGTTACAATATTTTTATTAAAAATTCAAATACATCATATACATAATGTCAGTTACTACATGTGACTAAAAACAAAAGCAACCGTATACAGCTCTGAAATTTATGTTCTTTTTGCAATATTCTTCCTATTACATAAAGAAACTAAAATTTTATGTGTTACACAATATACTTAAATCTTATTGGAGAATTTACAATTTCAAAAATATCATATGCAAAAAGATAATGTTTTTATTCATACAGAGTTACAATTATACATCCATTTTTATGACTTTATCATTTGAAAAACTGATTTCAGTCTTGAATCCATTTAATTTTTTTATAAAAAATATATTCAAAATACTTTGATATAAATATATGATTTAGTATACACAATTGATTTTAACAAATGACACAGTTTAAAAATTCATTTCTTTTTTTATGTGAAATATGATTTCATATGAGAGGACATGAACAGAGACTAAATTAAGGGAATTCTTACAGAAAATGTATGCAAAAAATACTTCAGAAAAATCTCAACTCTATTCAGAATCTGTTGAAATATACACATATAAAATAAATTTGTAATAAAGATATTTTTCTAAAATTAAATGATGTAATTAATGTATTTAATTTTTTACATCAATTTAATGTATAAACATTAGAAACATTAGCTAAAGTTAATGAAATATCGACAGCAGCAAAATACATTACGGGATGTGAACCAGATATGTAAATTAGGTATCAGAAAACAACCAAATAATTAAGAATTAGGAAACTACTACCATAAAATTAGCTAAATGAAATTAAAACATGTAAACACACTGTCGAACAGCCTATAGAGGAAAAACGCTGTCTCTTCCACTGGTTGCCTGTAGAGTATAAATATGATTGACATTCGCCTTTCTCGCTCTTGCAGAAATTTTTTTGCTCCTGATGAAGGGGGAGCCGTTTTGCCCTTGAAATCGAATGGGATTTTACAAAAATCTATGCCGATTACAAGGTTGTCAATTTACCTGTTTTAATTTTCACTTTGGCATGTTGATAGCTAATAGACTTTGAGCAAAATTAGAGAAATATATATATGTAATAATAAAATATATTCCAACTGTATGTTCTTTTCATTTTTAACGGCGACAGTCTCTTATTTGAAAGTATGTGGAATTAAATCCACAGCCCCATAGTCAAGTTGTTTTTCCCGCCTTTTTTACACGTACAGTTATAGAATGTTCTGGAAGTATTTAAAGCAAACTGGAATGACTGACGTCATTTCTTGGAAGCTCCATCTTTCCAGACGCTATAAAAAGACTCCCAAAGGAATATCGGGGGCTTTTCTTAAATGTCACGATGCAGTAAACTTCATACAAAAGTTATTAGTAATTCTTTTTATTTACTCTGGATATCTGATTTTGTAACTGCTATTTCTCCTGAATAATAATAAATGGATCCTGTTTTTTTTTAAACTTATCGTCTGATAATTTAAAGCTATGACTAAAGCTGGTACATCACATATATATATATATACAAATATATATATATATATATAATATATATATGTAAGTAACATACTTTAATCTTTCACAAATAAAGCATGTTATTTCTTATACAGAACAACATCTAAAATCCAAAATTGCCGAAATCCCTATAATTCCACATTTCAGAAATTTCCTAATATTAAATCACCAGTTTAATTATCTAGCTAGAAGACATGCAGGAATTACAAAATTAAAAATATGAAAGAATTGTTTATGAAATAATGAAGCATTTGTGACTTCAACAGGATTAAAATTTTAAAAAAAAGCTCTAAATTTATTTGTTTGTTTAACTAAACATATAATTTAATGCAAGTTGTTTAAGCAGTTTTATTTTTTGTGCTGATACTTTCTCTTTAATTTTATAGATAATTTCTTGCTCAGTTAAGTCTCTTTGTGCAAGATCTTACAGGAACTGACAGTTACACTATCACATTGAGAATTATCGTTAAACTCTTAATCGAAATCTCTACATTCTCAACAACCTTTTTATCACCATCTTCAATACCAGTAGTGATATTTTCTGGATTTAAAATCAAATTACAGATTGCACTGTCTGTTAGTTGATTTGTGAATGGAGCAGTCATTGCAATGAAAAATTTCTGTCATATCATCTTTATTTATTATCACTTCTCCACATTTCTTCAGAAATTTCATTAACTGGGAAATTTTACCTTAATCTTGTGACATCCAAATTTACAGATATCGTCATCATCAATAAAATGTATGGCAGCTGGTCATAAATTATGTCAGCCATTTTTAAAAACATCTGCAGACATATCTTTCTACAATACTGCAATGTTTCAGACAGCAGATTTTATGTTAAAATGTTTTTAAATTCTTGGTGTTGCATGGTTAAAAAAATTAGCATAGATTTTTAAAAAAGGCTACTGTGTACCTGCATTTCAACACCTGCAGCATTCTGATATCCATTGGCTGAATGATGAATATATTATTTGCAGGAAAGGATAAGATAGAGAAATATCTTTAATTAAAACTTTATGTGAATCTAGGCCAAACAGTTGTCTATTAACAGGATGATGGTCACATCATCTGATAAACTGATTTCAAATGTTGCCAAGTCTCAGGTATGAAACGATATTCAATCATTTATGCTTGTGCCATCCATGTTCTTTATATGAACAACAGATGATGCGGAAATAAGAGGGAAAAATAATTAAATATAGAGAGACACATAATTAACTAATAAAACATTACATCTTAATAACATGCACTATATTTTGTGTTACTTTTCAATAAGGTACATACATATTAAAAGTAGGAAATGCAGAGCATCACTTACACCTACCCAAAGTTTTCTTTACAAATATTTATATAAGATTTAAGAATTCCTAGAATAAGAATAATTTTTCCTAGAATAATTCTTTGGAAATAAATATACTTCAAATAATTTACAATTCATTTGTAACTAAAAATTTTGCAAATTCCATAAATTTTAAATTTAATATTTTTGTAAATTAACAATTAAAAAATATCTTTACAATCCTTTCCTAAAGTAAAAATGAATATTTTTTGTTTTCCAATTAACAACTTAAAAACCAGTATTCTATGCACAATTTAGTTCAATTCAGAATATTTTTTAATGTGACTTTTACTCAACTACATTCTCTCTTGATGATTCTGATGGAACCAAAAACATTTTTTTATTGTCTTATAATTCCCGCATTTCTAAATTTAATCAAGAATGTAGGTAGCAAGTTAATCTTTATACTTAATTAATTTCATTAATTCTTTATTTTTTCCTAATGGAGCTTAAAGAATTTTGGAATAAAACGAAAACAAGAATATGTAAGTAAGTTTGTAAGTATTAAATATTTCCTCAGAACTAAAGCAAGGAATAAAACACATACGACTATCTATAATTTTAATACTTAATAATTTAATAAAAATAATATGTCCCATATTATTTTACATACACACACAAATATGCAATGAACACAAACTTTTATACACACACAAATATGCAATGAACACAAACTTTTATACACACACAAATATGTAATGAACAGGAATGAGAAAACAACGTAATCTGAGAAAGATCAAAATGCAACTCGAAAGTCAAAAATATTTCTTAAAATGAAAGCACGCAAGCTAATTTAACCCTGTGAGCACCATGACCGGCTTTATCCGATCATGAGACTTTTTGTCACTTGTTATATATTAGCTTATAATTTAAGTTATTTTGCTTTCTTACTTTCATTAACAATATAAATTATATCTTGAAGAATGTAAGTTTATGAAAATAGAGACTAAAATATGTAATACATATTTAGCTAATAAAGGCTCTTTAAATACATGTCTTCATGACAAATCCAAAAACACAGGCTGCCTGGAGGGTTAAAAAAAAAATCCAAGTGTAAATTATTTAATTTACAATTTTAGTTGATGCAACCAAGCTTTTACAAGATTTTTTTTATTATTTCATAAGCAGAATAGTTCATAAGCAAGTATTTCATAAGCAGAATAGGAAAAATTTAAATTAAAATTCTTTGTAGTCTGAACAAAGAAACAAATGGCAGGCAAACCATGAAATTCAACAACTTATTTTTCATCCAATTCAATTTTAAAAAATCTGTTCTGAATTTCCTCTGTATTATGAATGGCAAGCAAAAAGAAATTATAGTAATATTAATAAAATGTAATGCAATCTAGACATTAACACAAATTCTTCCAATTCACACATGTATCAGTAAATTCTCCATTCAGGTGAAATAAATACAAGGCAAATAGGTATTCACAGATAACTAATATTACAACTCGCCAATAAAACTTCAACATTTACATTTATATCACAAAGTGAAACCTACCCCAAACAAAATAAATTACACATCAGCTAAATATTCAATGCCACCTAAAATTAAGGATTAAAGAAATTCTTCAAAATGCAAAAATTTATATCTAACCTAATCCTCCAATCTGCTAACTGAAACTTTTTATCCAGATCTTTTTTACAGTAATGCTTGAGGAGATATGAGAGAGACAAATGAGCAAAATGAAGCACCCTAGCAGCTTGACCTGTGTCAAATAAATTGACAACATATAAACCAAAATCTCTCTGCAACCACAAAATGTCCATATCAGCTCCATGAAAGACCTGCAGATTAAATTAGAAAAAATATGATTTAATTATAGATACAGGAGAAAAATACAAAAGAACATACCACAAAAGAATTAAAATGCACCTTCACAATTTTAGGGTTTGTAAAAACCTCATTCAGTATATGCAGTTCACCTCTTAGTTCTAATACATCTATAACGTAGTCTTTTTCTCTTGTAGATATCTGCATGAGGCAAGCAAACCCTTGAAAGCTTCTATATGAGTGATGCTATTAAAAACAAAAAAAAGAATTAATTATAATCACATGATAAAAAAGAAAATTAGTAGCTCTCATTATTATATAATATACAAAAATTTACATAGATTAAATTCACTTAATATAATTAATTACTTCTAAATCAACAGCAAACTCTTTTGACTTTTTCAAATCATCACACATATGTTTTAACTGCTCTTCAGTCTTCACAAATATGAATGGAGTTTCTTCCAGTGGCTTTGGAAGCTATAAAATTATTATATATATCATTAGTATTAATTTATCAAATGCCAGGCATATCACAAGAAGCTGTTACAAACAAAGGTATAAATATGAATATGAACCCAATGTTGACAGCAGAATGTAAAATGAATTGAATCTCAGTTCAGTATGCATGCAAAATAAAAATGCACTCATTCAAAGAAATTTACATATATTATTAAACACAATATTTTAGTAAAAACCGAGAAACCGAGTTGGTACAAATATCAACAATATTTTTTACAATATTTTTTAGCATAACAGTTATTAAAACATTGTCTCTAACAGAAAGGAATTAAACAGAATTTACAAATATATTTTTCTGCCTCTCCTTTTGTGAATAGCATACATGCAATAAATTAGACATTGATATTTTTGCTTTTCATTACCAATGACTTTCTTAAAACTGTAGCTGTTATATGTTACTGGATTTTCATCCCAGTGGATCACAATAAGAAGCTTGTGGAGTAATACTCCATATTTCAACACTTGATCTTCGTCCAGATTTATTACCTATGTGTTTGGGGCCAATTCAAGCAGAAATTTTTTATAACTAAGTTTCTTAAAGGATTTAGTTTCTAAAGAACCATAAATAAATTGAACAATGCACAACTGATTAAACAAAATCATTTCATGATTTTCCAAAGATTACACTAGTTGATTAAATACTGATTGTTTCTGTACCCACCCTTTATGAAATTATTATAGTTATCAAAGTAAAAGAGTACTTTTCTCTATTCTGCCATTTTGTACTTTTTTTGGTTGTATTGGCATTATGACTGCTGATACTTTCCATTTGTATATCTTCTGAGACTGAAGAAGAATTTTAGTATTTCTTCTGAAAGTTGCTTCATGTCTTTTTTTACTTTTGTTCCTTTGATTTTAGATCTTAATCCTTATGGAAGTCCTCTTTTTATCCCTATAGTTCTGCATATCCATATACTTTTAAAAAAAAGCAACATGCATGGTATTATAATAACTACAGTGATAAACATGGTAATTTTGATCAAAATGTGAGCTGAATATTTATAAAAAAAAAAAGAAAAAGAAAGAAAAGAAAGAAAGAGAAAAGGGGGAAAACTGCTTCCTTTAGCTTCAAAATAAAGCACATAAATAAACATGCTTTCCTTTAATAAATTTTGGTTCCCTCAAGATCATAACATGTCCTAAACACAAGAATTTAAACATGTCATTACTTTATTCATACATAATTTCAGATATTTAATTATATAATTCTTACATGGCATCTTACTGGATTTAAACTGACGATCTAAAATATGGAAAATTTCCAAATCTAGAATCGCCAAAGTCCTGACAAATTCAATCTTGCATTACTGCTTTTTGTTGCTTGGTACTGCATTTTTCATTGGGTTTGCATATTATTTCAAATTTTTAATGAAATAATCTACTGCTAGACCTAATTTGAAAAGTCTGTCTGCAGAATAACTTTGTAACTCTTTATCATAAAAACACAGAACTTGCAAAATTTAATCACCTTGTCTAGCACATTATTTTTGTTAAAATTTGAATTTTCAAAAACGCATCTGAAAATCGGTAATCCATCATATGAACTTCTTTTATACCTGCATAAGACTAATAATTGAGAGAATTTTTTATTTCATTCACTCCTACAACTAATTCTACTACTACTTTACTGCCTTGGAATTTTTTTTTTTTTTTTTTTTTTTTTTTTTTTTTGTGAGTAGATTCTGATGATAAAATAGATTTGTTTCATCACAATATCTGAAAAATATTTGCCTGTAAATACACCAAAAACAGATGTCTTGCTTATCATCAAAATCTTCATCAGTGGCTGTTGTTTGTATCACTTAAGCAATGGGTAAAAATTTCTTAATTTACATCATTAACCACTTGCGCTAAAAAGACGTGCCGCGCACGTCAAGATGCTTTTGTCTCAAATCGGGTGCAAAAAATGAAAATATCGTGGTGTACACATCACCTAACAATGAGATTGTTTATTTTTCGAGTTACAGCTCTGGATTGCACTCGCAGACGCTCGCAGCGCATGGCACCGCAACCGTGAAGTTTAGTCGTAGCGCAAGTGGTTAAAAAAATAAAAGGAAAAACCACTGTTACTATCTTTCATAACTACTATCATTTTCATTAACAGTCTCAGCATCACTTGATACATCTGAAAAGATACCTTCAAAAAAAAAATTTTTTTTTTTTTTTTGCTACACTCTTTAGAATGTTGTTTCAATTTTCGATTAATTGCATAAAATGAAGTAAGGATTTATAAAGCTGTTATGAATTAATTAAATGTAATAGTAATTACAAAACACAGAATTAATTAAATGTAATAGTAATTACTCAAACAGCAACAATTATGCATGTACAAGATATGATTTTTTTCTTGTGTTCCCAGTGTCTGACACTAAATAACCTTGATCTGTGTCTCCCATCTTCAGTGTCTAGCAAGTTAAAAATGCCAATCCATGTTTCCCACAGACAGTGTACTAAGAAGTTATAACCAAAGGGAAAATCAATCATTTTTTAAAGCATACATAAATTTTGAAAATTCTCAAAACATTATTAAACAAGAAAAGAAAAGATAAATTTATATCAAATTACTCACCTCAGGTTCTACAGTTTGTAAATGTTCTTCTGCAGGTTCAAATTTTTCAATTTCCAATTCATATGGATGACAAAATCTGTTGCATACAATTTAAAATAAAAGGTATGCGTTTAATAATTTTACAAACATAACATAAGGACTTAGCATTACAATTATTAAATTTTTAATGTATAAATAACACTACTTTGCTCAGTAATTTCTCTGTTTATCAATTCCGTCATAATAAGTGGAATAATTTTAATGAAATTGGTATACTGTATTTGATAAATTTCGTTTAATCAAGTATAATATCTCAAGTCAAAATTGAGATTATTTTGATAGCAATATTTTTTTATTCACAGTATTTAACTTTAGGAATTTAGATTTTGTAAAATGTCTTTTAGAAATATCTAGCTATACTTTTTATACATATTTTATATTTAAAAAATTTTAGGTTTTATTAGAATATTATAATGTGGAGTAGCAAGAGCAAAAATAAATTCTTTCTATTTACAGTGCCACCAAAAAATTAAAACAGTTCTTTTTCATGGGGAAGAGGTTGTTAAACTCAATTTATTTTCCTTGAAATTATAATTTTACTTTTATATTTATACATTCATAAGTTATAAAACAAAAGATGCAGAATTCTTATTTTCAATCATTGTCTCTGATGAAACTCAATTTATTTCTCATAAAGTCAGTTTTTTGCAACTTCTTTACATAAACACTCAGCTGTTAATTCTTTAAAGGAACTCTGAACTTTTTACAGAAACTTGCATATGTGTAATGTATATATGGATATAAACTGCCATTATGAATAAATGCTTTAATAAAACTCAAATAAGATTTGCCTGAATTAAATAAAAGTATTTCTATCAAATATTTTGCAGATTACAAGTTTAAAATACCTAAACCTCTTTAAACAGATAAGAAAAATAATGAACTTACTAATTATAGTTATATTAATTATTAAATATAATACAGAATTTATTAACTGTACAATATTTGAGAAATAGATACTCATATGTAAATTCCAAAAGCATCTTTAAAAAAGGACCAAAAGCCAGATTTTTTAAAGAAATTCAATGTAATTAAAAATTTAGTTTTAACCAGAAGTTAAGAACAATAAATTCAACTTACTCTTCTCTGTCACCATCTTTCTCTAATATAACAGCAAGAGGTTTTATGGAATTTGGTTTTTCTTTAATTATGGGAACAAATATTGAATTAGTATTATCAATTTTATCTTTAAATGCCAACTGTGGTCGAGAAATATTTTTTGCCGTTAGTAGTTTATAGCTCTGTGGACAATTTGAGTTAAATTGCTAAAACAGAAAACAAACTTTTATAACATATAAAATTTAAGATCATACATATGTGTAAAAAATGCAGATGTAAAATATAGGGATTAAATATAAATGTTATTCAAAAAAAGTAAATGCTACAAAGTTTACACAACCAGACAGGAAAACTGTACATACTTTCTTATTCCAACTTGTATTTATACTACTTTGTGGTTTCACTGCTAATATAAGTTCTTCTTCTGTTTTTTTCAGACCACTTGCTTCATCTAAATTAGTACTCTGAAAGTAAATAAAGTGACAAAGTATTTACAAAAATTTCAAAATTGCTTACAACTGCCTACAATGGATTTCATATGTAACACTTATCAGATAATAAACAATAATATCAACCTGATTTGCAATAACATTTTAGTCAAAAAAAAAAATTTTTTTTCCTATAGTTTTAAAGAAAAATTAAAAAGGGAGCCCAAAATTTTTTTCTAATTCGAAACAATGCTAAATTCTTAATTATGTTATTCACCTCTTTACTGCAAATTTCTAAATATTTATTATAAATATATTTATAATAAGTTTAAACATTTATTGCCAATTCACTGACTTCATCGCTCAATACAGCTTACCATTAAGAACTCAGCTGCCATTTAGAATTTTTTCTAATAATAATGTAATAAATAAATAATACTAAAACTAAATGTATTAAGTATAATGTTATTTAAATAATACAAAATATTAGAACATATATGCTGCTGTTTGACACCCATTAGATACAATAATAAATTTTTCCAATTCTAAATAAATCACTGAAAAATTTATTTTGTTCATCCATTCTGTTACTGAATTTATTGCACTCTAACAAATTTGGTGGCAAAATCATTACAGGGATTCCATATTTTCCAAAATTTAAATCTGTATCCCAATCTTTAGAAATTTTATGGGTAAAATTTCGCTGACTGGCAGTCATTTAAAAAATAGATTCAAAGCAACTGTCCCCTTTAGTGACTTTGCAGAAAAATACTGTATTCCTGCAAAAATTTTACTACTTTTTCTTCCATTGAAAGCAAATCTCAGAAGCACACACTTCAAAATTGATTTAAAAAGGAAAAAAAAAAAATCAGATTTTATATGATGCCCAAAGTGTTTTGTATGTTATCTTTATTTATCAAATATCATGTTCTTCGCATTTAAACCACAAAATTCAATTAAACAACAATATCACAAAATATTTAAAAGAGCATATCTTCAGAAAATCTGATGCACAGTCTCGCACGTTGGAGATATTTCCCATACAGTGTTGCCATTGCTCGCTTTGAAATCGTTGAGTTTTTTTAATCAAAACTCATAAATGCTTTACAAAATATGATACAGAAAATAAAAACAAATTCCAAATTTGGGCTTCGAGATGCCAATATTTAGGGGAAGATTACATTATTCAAAATTTGATGGCTCTAGGAACCATTATTTTATCCCAATGTGAGAAACATACATACATTTATGCAGATTTTTCCTTATTTAATTTCTTTAAATATAATACAGGGCTCCAATACTTGGTGGCAACAATTTAAAAAGTGATTAAAAAGTGAATCAACACAAAATGCCAAAATGAAATTAATAGCCCTTCTGGACTAACATCTATTGGGCTAACAATATCATGATTCATCTATGAAAACTGCTGGAACTTAAATACAATAAAATGAATGCATATGAAAATGGCAGTGTTGCTTGTTAGTACTAAAGAATTGTTATGCACATAGTTGCCAGATTTTGACACATTCTAAAAATTTGACATTTTTTACTATGGTTATTGTTCTAATACATAACCACCAGAAAATCATGCATAGCAGTCAGGTAAACAGCAGCTGTCCTAGACAGTTTGGCAGTTAGCAAAGCCAACTAACTGTCACAAAAGTTTGGCTCAGATCTAAATCGCAAATAAGAAGGCATGGATGCTTTATTTAACCCTCTGAGCGTTATGGCCGGCTTTATCCGGTCATGAGATTTTTCGTCATTTGTTATATATTAGCTTATAATTTACGATATTTTGCTTTCTTACTTTCTTTAATAATATAAATATCATCTTAATAAATGTAAGTTTATGAAAATAGAGCCTAAAGTAAGTAAATATACAAATTTAGCTAATAAAGGCTCATTGAATACAGGTCTTCATGACAGATCTAAAAACCCGAGCCGCTGAGAGGGTAAATTAACCGATCCCTTAAGGCAAGCTGAAAATGAAGTCAAAAATTACAAATTTTCAAATAAAATATCCCGGACAATTTTTTGTCATATGAGTGTCAAACTTCTTTTACTTTTAAAAAGTATTTCTCCCACCTTCTTAGCATGCCTTTGTGATGTAGTAGTCAGCACGCTCGACGCATATTCGAGAGGTCCGTGGTTCCAGTCCCGACAAAGGCATTGCTAACACAAAAAGGCAAAGGCATTGCTCATTTCACATCTCCTGCTTCCAAAAAAACCTAATATCTCTACAGTGGCGCCCGAAATAATAAAAGGTAGTGAATGATGATTCTCCACCACCAGGATTTGGCAATTGGGTCTTCTAATCAACAGCTGTTTTTTAAAAGGGGGAGTATATAAGATATTTCCCCATTGTGGTGTGATGGTCAGAACGCTCGACGAAAAGTCCATGGTTCGAGAACCGGCAAGGGCATTGCTCGTTTCACATCTCCTGTTTCCAAAAACATCCTAATATCTCTACACTTTAATTTTTTCATTACAAGGATAAGATCAACCAGCGGGCGAGTGGTTAAGTCACTGAACACTGGTAGTTTGGCCTGAGATTGGAATTCCGCGAACAGGCTGCCTGCACGGGCATTTTCGTGGTGTTTCCCATATGTAACATGTATATGAGCCAATTTCCTTTAGAAAGTTCGCCGAAGGCATCCCTCCCCTTTAACCAGATAGCCCTTGCTGTAATCACATAAGCCAAACCAAACCATTACGAGGATAAAACTTTCCCAAACATAAGTATACGAATTGAGAGACCGAATTAAAAGTTAGACTTTGTTATCTGTTGAAAACTAATTAGTTTTTAAAACTTGACATTGCCAAAACATGAACATTTTCATCGTTTAAAACACTTCTGTAACTGAAGTATATAACTACAACAAACTATTGCAAAAATAAATGCCAGCTAAGGTATATGAACTAAACAGTAGTTACCTAAAAAACCAACAAATTGCAGAAATAAAGTGTGAATGTGTTGCGATGAAAATGGCTATGCTTGCAAATTTAAAATTTATACTGGTAAAAAAACACACAAAGTCGAAAAAAATTCGAGTGAAAGAGTAGTAAAAATGTTAAGTGAGAGTGAGCCCTTGTATGATAATAATCATAGGGTACACATGGACAATTACTTTACATCTTATGAACTTTTCTCAAGTTTTTAGAAACGAAAAATGTATTTTGTTGTGGAACTGTAAATATAAAAAGTGCAATGTTAGTTTATGCATGTACCAAAAAGACAAAACATGCTTTGAACAGTTTCTTTAAAAATAATTTTGTTCTTTGATATTAAAAAAAAAAAAAAAAAAAAAAAAAAAAAACCTGAGGTGGTTTTTTTTTTTTTTTAAATCCTTCAACTGCTGAGTTTTTTATCTATTTATCCAAACGTCCTTATTATGTAAATTATTATGTTTTCACTGCTGTAGAAAAATTAGATAAATGTTTATTTTTTCTGATGATTTGCTTCAGAAAATAATGTAAAACATTTACATATAAAGCAATTTTTAAAAATACAAATTTTTTTTTAATTCGAAAATTTTGTTATTTATTGGATATGCACACAGAAGGAGGCCAGTTGTTTTTTTCCTACTACCTAAGTAAGTTTCAAAGTCCTAGACGTGCACTGGTTTCAACAGTGCGACCACCACTCACAGATCAATGAGCAAGAATAATTTTTTAATTCATATATTATTTGTCTCTAGGATCATAATGTACGATTTCTAGTTAATACATTATAAAAATAATATTGTGTGCATCAAAGGATTAAAACAGCAGAGCTCTCACGGTTAAGGTTACAGTGAAAAAACTTACAAAATTTTCAAATGGTAACACTCACTTATTGTTTGGTACAAACTGATCAATGCATTGAAAAACCATGAACAGCATTGGAACAATATATGTATGAGTAGAATAGCTGATGTAAGACATTTGCAAAGAACAGTATTGACAGAATTTTCTTAAATAGAATTATCAAAACCCACAAATCTGTGTTTCAAGGTTCATTCAAGGTCAATTCCCTTTTATGTGTGGAACTGCAAATGCTACTTGGGTATTTATTATAATTTTCTTATCTGAACCAAACATGGGTGGGAGTGAATCACTAGAGGTTAGTCAGAACTGGCTCAGATCAGTTGAGGGAGGAGGAAAATATGAAAAGAAAATTTTTAAAAAATTTTTTTTAAATGTAAGGGAGATTCTGTTAAAAAAATGTCTTTTTTTGCTAACACAGTTCGTTCAGTTCACCCATCCACATTGTGCTTTTGCTGTCTGGTCATGCCTCACAATGGCCAAATGCAAGGACTTAAAAGCTAAAGAATTGTTGAAGCAATATGATGCTTTACCAAAATGCAGCCAACATAAAGCTTCTGTAGAACTCAAAATTTCACAGTCTGCATTATGTGCATTTCAGAAAAGAAGGGAGGCAATTTAAGATGAAATGATAGCAAGTGCAAATATCTCGCATATGTAGAGATGAAGTGGAAAGTCTATTGATGTAGAAACTGCCCTCTAGGAGTGGTTTTGAAAACTCTGGAATAAGAATACCACAATGTTGTGAGAAAACACACTAGACAACAATAAAAATGCTTGGATGGCAAGCAATATTTTTGGCGATTTGGTGATTGAGACAAAGAACTTCAGAAAGAAAAAGTGTCATTCTTGTTAGGTAACTGAGCTGCCCATCCAACTGATCTCTCATTGAAGAACATAAAATTAGTTTTCATTCCTCCTAACACAATTTCAATTCTTCAGAGATTAGATCAGAGTGTTATAACACACTCAAGAGTCCTTACAGGGGGTTCATTGTTACAAAATGTTATTAAAGAAATTGATATGACTGATCCAGTTTATTCTTCTAAGCAAATTGTTAAGTCCATTTCTTTCTTAGATGCCATGCATGTTATTTTAAATGCATAGCATGAAGTAACTTCAGAAACAATTTCAATTCTTTTTTAAAAAGCCGACTCCCATCCAAAGCAAATTTCTGGAAACTCTTAAGATATGCCAGAAGACAAGGGTGACGATGAAGAAATGCATGATGAGACCTTCCTCGAATATATGGGAATCGATGAAAATATTTAAAAGTTTGGTTTGATGATGCAGAGATCATCAAAGTTAACACAGAAAACAAAGGAATTAGTGAAAATCAAAGTGAGTTAGAAGATGAAAATCCCAATCCCATACTAATAGCAGCACAGCCTCAAAAAACATTCAAAATTTTTAGAATGCTCGAACGTAAAAGTGGTGACACAGAACATTACAAGCAATGTCATGTCTTGGAGACCACTGTTGAAAAGCTACTAACAAGAAATATGCAACAAACTCGAATGGATAAATTTTTAAATGTTTGAGATGCTTACATACTGTATTGATCTGTGTAACATGTTGAAATAATTACAATTTTTCTGAATTAACACAGCCTTTGTCACCCATGGCAAAAAATAATGAAAATTTTATTAAAAAAACTGTAACTTTCATATTAAACAACATATCAAAAAAAGTATTCATCTCAACAGCACGGCCGTATGCGAGGACATATAGGTTCATATGCATATTTCATTCACAAAAATTTATTGAAATCTTATTTTATAAAGATTTCAATAAATTTTTATGTATATTTCAATAAAATTTATTTAATATTTTCAATAAATTTATATATTTCAATAAATTTATTTAAATATTTTCAATAAATTTATATATTTCAATAAAATTTAATTAATACATATAAGTCGATTTCTAAAATTTTACTCTTTATATCTCCCCCCCCTTTCCAAAAAAAATATCGAACGTTGTATCGCTAACCAAAATGAAATCATGCCTGCAGCCTAGCACTGCATATAAAACTCAACCACTTTACACAATCAAATAAGGTTAGAACAGACATGATCGTATCAGGCAATACCAACTGTAAATAATCTAAAAATCTGTTTCAAACTTTAGACATTTCCCTAAAGATCTCTGGTCTCAAAGTAAATAATTTTCAATATATCATTTATTAACTCATTATCTTTGCTTAAATTTAACCACAGATAAAAGAAAATTTCAACTCTGCTTACATACATTGAATTTGTTATATGTTTGTAGCATTAAAAGCATTTTCCTTCAGCAAATCACTGGACTATTTATGCTTAAACCATATATTCTTCTTACTTTTTATAAAAATATAATGAAACCTCTTGGGGTGATTACTCTTGAAAACATAAATAAATATTGGTACTCAATATCACCTTCCCAAAACAATTTTTTATACAGCTGACTAAAATCATTTGGAATGAAGGATATCACCTTGGAAATGGTTCAATTTACATGCAAGGATGAAATGCAAAACCATATCTACTTACAACATTGTCCAATATTACATTGTTAACTTCAGTTAATAAGTCGAATTTTTCTTCCAATTCTGATCCCTGGAATTTTTCCCGAATTCCTTGGCTCTGTATTAGACATGTCATGCTGAAATTGAATGAAGTTTGTGCATCAAATAAAATTAGAAAGACAACACGCACAGTACAGAGAATATGAAAATATGAACAAAGAAAATGGTAATTCTGTATGTACATATAACTCTACCCCATTTTCAGAGGCCATTCATTTAATTCAAATGCTGATGATAAAAAATACATACTGCTTTTTCAAAGTAAAAAGTAGATGGGACTTCATATGACCTCTGTAAAGAATGCTAGAATACTAAGGTAATGTGTCAAGCAGTCGGATTAAAAAGAAAATTAAAAAGATGTTAAGTCACATACATTTATTTAAAATGTCAAATGATGACATGTCTTTCATTGCTGCAAAAGGGAAGAACTGTGTGTGCTTTGATCATGTACAGAAATCATGTGTGTGCTTTGATCTGTTTCTTGCCATGTACAGAAATTTCTAAGGAAACAGTGCAATTTTTGTGATTGTTTCTTTTCACATCTAATTTAGTTTATGCAAAAGTCTTAATTAATCATACAAACACAATTAGACTTTTATTTAATAACATCTCAAATTCCCTGAAAAACTTCACTGCATGGAAGATTTTCTTAAATGGAGTTTACACTGATAGGTTTCAGGAAAGACAATGATATATCACAAGAATTTGTTTGACTATTCTTGTGATATATCACAAGAATAGTCAAACTTCAAGACAATATGCTAAAATTAATGGGAATTAAAAGGCAGAATCAATGGAAATTAATGCTAGAATTAATTTTCAACTAATTTGGCAATGGTATTACATTTTATAATTTTTATGGTTATTTAGTATTAATAAAATTAAATATTTCTTGTTATGCCTGTATTATACAGTAAGAGCCCGCTTAACACTGTTTCGTTCAGTGTTGTTTCGGTTTAGTGCTCTTTTATTTCAACCTGGGGATTCCCCGAAATTGCTCCAGGACTACGGGGATTTCCCGAAATTGTGTGCGCAGCGCTAGATTTCCAAATAACATATCTGAAACAGTGTAGTTGTGTTTCTTGTTTGGTGCGGTGCTATACGGATGCATTTTTATCATTTGAAACATTTGTTGACATTATTGTAAGCATAAATTTATATAATACTATAACGATTAATACAGTGACAAATATTATGATCTTTAGTTTTTATCATGGGTGATAATAAAAAACAAGAAAATAAAGCAACCAGAAAAAGCATTTCACTGGAAACTAAAATGCAAGTGATTAGAAGATTAGATTCTGGTGAACCTCAATCTCAAAATAGTGCTGCATTTAATTTAGCAACTTCAACAACAAGGACAATTCTTAAGAATAAAGAAAAAATACTGTCATCGGCAACTGCAACTACGTCAAGCTCTGCATCTAGAATTACCCGTTCTAGAAATAACATTATAGAGGAAATGGAAAAACGTCTATATGGATTGACGACGAAATTGAACACAATATGCCATTAAGCCAATCTATCAGAGTGGAAATCTGAAAAAAAAAGCTAGAAGAATTTTTAATTACATTCAGGCTAGACAAGTGACATAAGTGAAACTTTCGTTGCTAGTCGAGGATGGTTAGATTTAAACATTGAAATAATCTTCACAACATTAAAGATTACAGGAGAAGCAGCAAGTGGTGATACGAAAGCGGTGGCTGAATTCCCAGCGACATTAAAAACAATAATTGAACAAGAGGAAACTATCCTCCAAAATTGGTTTTTAATGTTGATGAAACAGGCCTGTTTTGGAAAAGAATGCCAAAACGAACATTTCTATCCCAACGTGAAGAGAAAAAACGAGCATCCAGGATTTAAAGCTGCAAAAGATCGCTTAACACTTCTACTAGGTGGTAACGCAAGCGGAGATTTCAAATTAAAACCACTACTTAGTTTACCACTTCCAAAAACCCAAGAGCGATGAAAGGCATATCTAAATCAACTTTATCTGTAATTTGGGAGTCTAATAAAAAATCATGGATAACTATGAAAATTTTCCAGGATGGGTTCACTGAACATTTCTGCACGTCTGTTAAACATTATTGCGAAATTAAAAAACTTAAACAAAGAAAGCACTACTATTAATTGATAATGGCTCCAAGCCACCCAATAAATTTATCAGACTTAACAATATGCATTCCAGTTGAAGTGATTTTCTTGCCGCCTAACACAACTGCCTTAATCCAACCAATGGACCAAGACGTTGTATCCAATTTTAAGGCATATTCTTGCGGCGAACATTTAAGCAGATGTTTGAAAAAACAGACAGAGAAGAGAAGCAGTCAATAAGAGAATTGTGGAAAAACTACAATATCATGAATGCTGTAGAAACA